TGAAGGAGGAGGAACACGTGATGAACACGTGATGTGTGTGGGGATCAGGGTAGGATAACATTTTGTTTTTTGGCACTGGTAGAGGATTCAGAGATGTTTAAGTGCAGAAAAAGAAATCATAAAGGATCCTGGCAAAAACTCCTCCAATAAAAGACAGGTGAATAAAAAAATGTTTAACAGGGTTATTTGATCATAGTTTATGTGATACATGATCCTTCAGATTGAAGACTAAAGAACACAGAGAGAACTGTCCGTTTTTTAAAAAAGAGTTATTTATTTATTATTATTATTAACATTATCATTATTTGATTTGCTATAGGGCATGTACACTCATCAGAGAGAGAGGGAAAGTGAAAAAGCAAGCCGTGAGGTCTGGGACTTGACCCATGGTAGGCCTCCTGGGAGTCCAGTGCCTTAACCAACACACCACCTGCGGGCCCCAAACTATCTATTTTTGTATTTGGGTTTGGTGAATCAAGTACAGTCATGTCACTATAAGTTTGGACAAAAAGGGCCTCATAATAAAATACTGAGGGAGGAAACCCAGCAAGGGGTGTCTGTTCAGATTCTTCTTAGCCTGTCTTTGGAAGCATTTTTTTACTGGATATGGAGCAAGAAATTTCTTTATGATTAGCTGTTACACCATAACAGGATAGGAAGTAGAGAGGTAGGTAAGAGTAATATTTTTAGGCTTTATGGTTGGCTTTAGGGGAAAGGAGGTTCTGGCTACTATGACCTGTCTTAAAGTGGACCTCTAGTTTCTATGGCCTGTCTTGGGGGAGAATGAGGGCCAAGAGATAGGAGAATAAGAGAAGGTCAGAAAGAAATTTTGCTTCTCACGCCTTCACTTTGGGATACAGTTTTCTGAATCTCAACAGCTGTTTTTAAAAACATTTTTAAACTACGTTGTATTTTATTTATGCTATATTTCCCAAAACAATAAAAAGGCAAGTTTGCTGAGATATCTTTAAAAAAAGAAAAGAGAGGAGCCAGCAGGTGGCGTTATGGTTAAGGCATAGACTCCCACATGGCTGACCAGGGTTTGAGTCCTGGACCTGGTGACTTGACACTCACACCAGGTGCATGTATATATGTGCCCATAATCCCGAGAAGAGAATGGAGGAGAAGGGATTGTGGCATGGTCATCCCTGTTGGGGCAGGGGGAGATTTCTTACTGACTCTCTGTCTCTAGCAAGTGTACATGTCCCATCACAAAAAAGTCTCTCTTTAAAAATATAAAATGAAACTGTTAGCTTCCAACTCTAAAGACTTTAATTATTGGGCTTGCAATTGTTTCTCTTGGATGTCCTGGAGATGGTTTTCTTATTTAGCAAGATGTTGAGTTAAAAGGTATCTAAGATCTCTTCCTACTTAAAGCTTATCATGAAGGAAATTATAACCATTTTACAATTTGTATGAGGGGATCTTCAAAAGTTCATGGAAAAGGTGTTATAAAAGAGCTATGTGGGACCAGCAGTTGGCATAATGGCTGTTGCTGGACTCCCATGTAGCCGACCGTGGTTCGAGTCCCGGACCCAGTAGCTTAAACAAACGCCGGGCGCGTGTGCATGCGTGCCCAAGATCCCGAGAGGAGAACAGAGGAGAAGGGATTGCAGCATGACCATCCCCCTGGGGGGTGATTTCTCGCTTTCTGTCTCTCTGTCTCTCTGGCAAGTGCACATGCCCTTTAGCAATCCCCCCCCCCAAAAAAAAAGTCTATGCATAGGTTAAAAAATTTTTGAACCAAAATATACTTGTACTTTTTTTTTTTTTTTAAAGAGAGGGCATGTGTGGTTGTCAGAGAGACAGAAAGCGAGAAATCACCCCTTGAGTGGGGCAGATGGCCATACCTCAATCCTTTCTCCTCCATTCTCCTCTTGGGATTTTGGGCACGCATCCACATGGGCTTAGCATGAGCTTTAAGCCACTGGATCCAGGACTTGAATTGTGGTTGACTACATGGGAGTCCAGTAATATAACCATTATGCTATCTGCTGCTCCCAATATACTTGCATTTCATTCCATTTTTTTCACTAAATTTTCTTTTGATTCTTGCTCTAGGGCATGTGCACTCACTGGAGAGGGAAAAAGAGAGAGAATAAAAATAAGAAATGACCCCCTCCACGGGGAATGGCTATACTGTAATCCTTCCTTCATTCTCTTTTTGGGATTTTTGGGCATGCACACATGCACCTGGCATGTTTCTTAAGCTGCCAAATGCATGACTCGAACCCCAGAGTCGATCACGTGGGATCCAGTGCGTTAGCTGCCATAACACTGCTGGCCCTCCACAAATTTTTTGAAGTCCCCTTATATTGGCTAGAGAGATGCTGAGGTAAAAGTAAATAAAATAAGAGTTTATGTGAACAAAGGATGAGAATGATTGCCTACAAGGGCCCCTGAATATGTACACTTGTTCATATTACATAATATGTAAGTCTTAAAGATTTCAGGATGATTTTCAAAGACAAAATCAGGTTGGGGGACAGCTGGTAGCTTGGTTGTTAAGGTGTTGGATTCCCGCTTGGCCAACCATGGTTCTAGTCTTGAATCTGGTGCTTGAAAAAAAAAACACTGTGGGCACACTGTGTGTGTGTGTGTGTGTGTGTGTGTGTGTGATCAAAATTCTGAGAGGATAATGGAGGAGAAAGGATTGTGGCATGGCTATCCTTTTCTGGAGAGCGATTTCTCTCTCTCTGTCTCTGTCGCTCTGGGAAGTACACACCCTGTGACAAAAACCTAAAGAAAAAAAAAAAAGAAGTTGAGAAGGGAGAGGGTGTTGGTTAAGGCTTTACGCTGGTCAAAAAGCTGTACCAAGGTGTTATGCAGCATTGCTTGGCTGAATTCTGTGATAAGGAGCAAGATGACCTTATGGCCATTTGGCGTCACTTTGCTTATTCTTAAGCAAACTGTGGAGACCATCTGGCACACGTTCTTGTAACTGCTAAGAAATATAAACATTTAGAAGGTTATAGCTAGTAGACTAAAGGAAGGAAGAGTAACAGGAGGATTCTATTTCAGCAGTAAGGAAGTTCATAAAATAAAATGTCCAGTGATCTTGGTAACATCTTGAACTATTTCAGGTGTCTTATCCTAGAGGCCCAGCACCAAAGGATCATTGTGTTTGGATTATAAATTTCAAGGCCTTCAACTTCTGTGTGTCCGAGCTCAGTTTTTCTAATGGCCTCTTGGCTCCATTTTGAACAAAAGAACATCTTGTTTTTCTTGTTTCACAATATCTAGCCTTAAAGTTATAATAAAAACCCATCTTTAAATCTATACTTTATAATTTTTCTAATTGAGGCCTAATGCCTTCTTAGTTAATTCAACTCAAGTGGCTTTTTGTTGAAAATTGTCTGAGAACTTTGGTTAAAATCTTTGTGTTAATTAATAGTGAGTTACTTTTCCTTTCAGATTTCAACTGCTACTTTGGGAACAGCACAGATTTCACAGAAAATAATTCCTCTCTTGGAACTTCAGTCTGTTTCTGAAGACGGTAACATGAAACTGCTTATGGAGTTTTTTTCTTATTAAAATATATTAGAATAATTTTCATTTTGAGGTATATTTTTCTCAAATGACCATGTTTGGAGGGAAAGTATCTTTTCCTTTTAACCACTTGATTCTCTCCTGGGGCTCTGCTGTAAAAGACAGATTAACCAACAAGAGAAAACAAACCAATTTATTAATGTTTATCTCTTATGTGTAAATGGGAGAAGCTTCAAGGGTGAGTAACTTAAAGGGATGATTAGCACTTTGGTTTATGTACTAATTTTGGTTTAAAGGAAAAACGGGGTTTGGAGCCTCGACTTGGGGTACATAGAGGCAAGTTGTGGGAAGGTTACCAGAAAAAATATGATTAAACAGGGTGAGGTTTATTTTATAGGTTTATGGAAGCGTCTTCTCCTTTGATAAGGATATTGTAGATTAACAGTTATTTTTCCTGGCGCAGAATGAGAGGGACTTTTACAAAGGTTATTTCCTTTATAAATGTTAATTTCCCTTACAGAAGTGAAATATATGCTGTCTTTAGAGCTTCTTCATTGTATGTTGTTTCTCAAAATTGTCAACTCAGTATAGCCCTTATACCACAAATAGATGTTTTGAGTGGCATATTTTAATCTCCTAAAGTCATATAGAAGAATTCAGGCAGTAGCACATACTGTTATTTAAAAAAAAAAATTAGATGTTTCTCTCTCTTTTCTTAGAGATATTTTTGCTATAGAGCATGTACACTTGCTGGAGAGACAGAGAGAGACAGCGAGACAGAAAGCGAGAAATCACACCCCCCCTTGGGGGGATGGTCATGCTGAATTCCTTCTCCTCCAGTCCCCTCTTGGGTTCTTGGGCATGCACACACATGTGCCTGGTGTGATTTTAAGCCATCAGGTCCAGGACTCAAACCGCTTTTGACTATGTAGGAGTCCAGTGACTTAGCCATTACATCCTCTGCTGGTCCATCCCAGTTTGGATGTTTCTTAAAGTTGCTTTTGCAGTGGAATTTTTTTGGTATATAAAAGTTGAATTTAGGCCAGGTGGTAGTTTGGTGAAAGTGGCCAGCTGATTAGTTTGAATCCTGTATCCTGTGGCTTAAAAAACACACTGGGTGGGAACCAGCAGTTAGCGTAATGGCTATGTCGCTGGATTCCCACGTAGTTGACCGCTGTTCCCTTCCCGGACCCGGTGGCTTAAAACTCACTCCGGGCGCGTGTGCGTGCGTGTCCAAGATCCTGAGAGGAGAATGGAGGAGAAGGGATTGCGGCGTGACCATCCCCCCTGGGGGGGGTGATTTCTCGCTTTCTGTCTCTCTGTCTCTCTCTGTCTGTCTGGCGAGTGCACACGCCCTATAGCGAAAATCTCTCAAAACAAAACAAAACAAAACAAAACAAAACAAAACACTGGGCACTTGTGTGCATGCACGCCCAGATTCCTGAAAGGAGAACAAAGGAGAAGGGATTGCAGCATGCCCTCTGGGTTGTGGTTTCTCATTCTGTTTCTCTCCCCTCATCCCACTCTCCTTCCCTCCCAGTCTCTCTCTGATGAGCACGTGTGTCCTATAGTAAAAATTATTATTAAAAAAATAAATAAATAAAAAAGTTGAACTCAGACTGGCCCCGTAGCCCCACGGTTAAGGATTCCACATGATTGATCATGGTTCAAATCCTGGCCCTGAAGCCTTGATAAACTTGGCAGGCTTACTACTGCCTGGCTCAGTCATTTTTAATATCATATTTTAGAAAAATACATATGTATGTGTTCATATAATGCATGTCCAAAATTCTGATGGGAAGGAAGAATGGAAGATAAGTGATTGCAGTGTTACCATGCCCACTGAAGGGTGCTTACTCTCTCTCTCCTATCTCCACTCTCTCTTGTGTGCACATAATTGATGTGCCCTCTGACACCTCCTCAAAAAAATCGAACCCATAATCCCAAGGGCAACTAACAAATTAGTTATCTTTGTCTGCAAGCTAAGACAGTCCATGAAACTTTATATGATAGATGTGCACTTTATAATGTGCTATTTAGTTTTTTGGAGAATTTTATTGTAGTAAATTGCTAAAAACTTTTAATGTAATCGTTTTTTGTTGTTAAAGGGAGAAATTGATTTGTATAGCATGTCGAAGGTTATAAATACTCTGATTTCCATACCTGCTCTTCTATGGCCATTTTGGAAAGGAAAATAAATATATTTCTCTATTTTTAAGAATTCAAAAATTGCTAAATGTTAAATAACAGTGTTGATCCTTGGTTTCCTAGAGAATATTTTCCTTTGTGTTTGGTGAACAGAAATGAGATGATGTTTATGAGGCTATATCTACTTTATCTTCAATTTTAGGTTATTAGGGATATGTGTCAAATTGTTTAGTTTTCTTTAAACTTTTTTTATAATGGTTAACTAAGTAGTTAAATAATTTTTTAGTTTTTGATCTTTTTAAAAAAGTTTGCCAAAGGGTGCATGCACTCGCTAGAAAGAGAGAGAGAGAGAGAGAGGGAGGGAGCGAAGGAGGGAGGGAGGGGAGGGGACACATGAGAAAGCACCCTTGTGGGGAGTAGTCACTCCACAATCCTTTCTTCTCCATTTCTTCTCCCTTTTGGGATTTTGGGCATGGATGCACATGTGCCTGGTGTGTTTTTCACTTCGCTGGGTCCAAGACTTGAATTGCGTGGTTGGCCATGTAGGATCCAGCCACCTCAACCAGCAAACGCCGCTGACTGGCTTGGTGTCCATATGCATGCATGCTCACTTATAGCTGTATTGTGTGAGTGCTTGATATATAGTAGTGCTGGATTTCAATTTAATTTAAATTCCAAGCCTGCTCTCTGCTGCTACTATAGCAGAGTTTATAGTTAAGTCCTGTTATAGTATCCAGGTACAGTGAGTTTATTAACATGTTATTTTGAGTATTTATGATATATGTAATCATTAACATTGTTTGCTGTAAAATTTCCTTAAGCAATTTAAAAATGGACAATAGATTTTATTTAATTTTAAGAATTATTCTATTTATTATTATTATCATTTTTAAAAATTTGCTAGGGTACACACACCCACCAGAGAGATTGGGGTTGGTGGGGGTGGAGAAGGAGAGGGAGAGAGAGGGAGAAAGTGAGAAAGCAAACTGCCAGGTCTGGAACTCAAACTTGGTCAGCCATATGGGAATCCAGCACCCTAACCACTGTACCACCTGCTGGCCCCAGACTAATAGATTTTAATGTGTTAAAATTTTTTTTCTTGTTGTAGATAAAGATTACATTTTGCAAGTTTCCATACTTTTTATCACCAAGAATGTTACTCATTCAAAAGTAGTGTCTTAAGATTGGCTCTGTAGCCTAGTAAAGGGAGCATATCTCACATAACCAACCATGGTTTGAATCCTGTCCTGACAGCTTGAAAAACACACCAAGTGTATTTACCTGCATGCCCCAAATCCTGACAGGATGGAGCAATGGAGAAAGAATTGCAGTGGGACCACACCCCACTAGGGGTTGCTTTCCTCTCCCTCCCTCTCATGGGTGCAGTTGCCCTCTGGTAGTTGGGAAAAAAGTAGTATCTATATTCTTTTCTCTTTTTGGAATGCATTTTTTTTTTTAGTTGTTTTGTTTTGTTTTCTCACACTTGCGCCCAGCATGATTTTCAAGCTGCTAATTCCAGGACTTGAACTGTTCAGTCTGCCATGTGGGATCCAGCCACTCAACCTCCACACCACCTATTGGCCCTGTCTATATTCTTTTCTATTTGTTTTATTTATTGTGATTATAGCCCATCTAAAAATAGATTTTAGTTAGAAGTTTTAATGTTCACATTTCAAACAATTATAAAGATGTTACTATATTGTTTTTATTATTGACTTAAACATCCTTCTGTGAAATTTAGATTCAGAGGAGGAATTTTATGATGCACCATGTAGTCCCTTGGAAGAGTCTCTTCAATTTCCATCCTCAGCTAAATGTATTCGACACAAAAAGTTACAAAAGCGAGATGGTGTAAAAAATATGACTGAGTTAAAAATGCTGTTTGAAGTAGTGGAGGTAAGTACCATAGTAAAGTTAATAAGGTTTGTTTAAGTTGTTTGCTATTTCTACTATTTAGTGATGATTTATCTGGTTTTAGTGCTGAGAGGCACTACTGTTTTCATCCTGTTTAAACTAAATCAAGAGTCGCTGTGTGGTTCATCATGGTCTGTGCTTTATCATGGTCTGTCCACACTCCCATCAGCGTGGTTTTCCTGCGTACACAACTGCTTTGCTGTGGTCAGGGGATCATCACTCATCAGTGGTCTTCCATAGCCCGAAGGGTAAAATGCAGATTCCTGTACCCAGCCACGAGGCCTTGCATGACATGTCTCAGTCAGTCTGCCACGAGTGCTGCCATCCCATTACCTCCTGCCGTCCTAGCACCATGTCGTGTTATGGCACCCTCTGTTTGGGAAGATTGACTTCCTTAATCATGAACTAGGGGTTTGGCCCAGTCCCAGTGATACAGGTGGTGGGTGCCACTGCTTGATCCTATAACCATATAGGAAGTCCCCAGGCTTGGGTCCCAGGTTGGCTTGAACATGCTAGGTGTGCTCATGGGTGTGTCATGGTCCTGACTGAATAGAGCTTTGGAGGTGAAGGTGTATTGCATTGTGATGAGACCTTATAAAAGGTGTGTGTGTGTGTATTTCACAAATAAACTTTAAAAAATTAGAAAAAAATAAAAGAAAGAACAAACTAGAGGTTTAGATGATATAGATCATAGGTAGTCAGTGCAAGGGGGTGGTCTTTGAAAAGTTCATGGAAAATGGGTATAATAAAAAACATGCATGGATTTCAAACTTTTTGTTGTAGCAAAATAAACTGATACTTTGTTTTTTTTTTTCATGAACAAAGTCCTTTCATATATATTTTTTGAAAATAATATAGTATGTATCTGTGTGAGAGGGGGAGAGAGAGATGTGTGGATACAAAATTTTCTAAAATTTTATATACGTCATCTATCTTTTATATCATGTATTTCCTCCCGTATCCATATATAGCCACCCTCACATGGACTTTTTTTGTTGTTTTATATGGTGATTGATTTTTTTTTTTTTTTAAATTCCTCTGCAGGTTTTGATCCAGTTTTACCACCTGGTTGGAGATTGTGAACTACCCGTGATAGAGATTGATCTTTTAGGCTTGGGCACAGGAATTGAAATTAGAACATTTGATTTGAAAGCAAATGCCTTTTTGAAAGAGTTCTGCTTAAAATGCCCAGAGTACTCTGGTAAGAATCTGCGTTTTTAAAATAGGTTAATTTCATTGTTTGACGACTTGCTAGAATATTTTCAGTTTTGTGTGCTTTGATTTGTTACATCTGGTAAAATATCAGAGAACTGTTACATTATGAATTAGTCTTTAACTTTTATGTTGTAATTGGCAATCCATAGTGGTAGACTAAAAGAGAATGAAGAAAAGTTTTTTCATTAAGGAAAATCAAATAGTCCTGATTGAAATTAAATCTGAACTGAATGTGGAATACTTTCTTTTTTTTTTTTTTTTTTTTTTTTTTTAGGTGAGGTTTTTGCTATAGGGCTCCTGCACTCGCCAGATAGAGACAGAAAGTGAGAAATCACCCCCCAGGGGGAATGACCACGCAGCAATCCCTTCTCCTCCATTCTCCTCTTGGGATCTTGGGCACACACCCACACGCGCCCGACGTGAGTTTTAAGCCACCGGGTCCAGGACTTGAACCGGGGTTGACTACGTGGAAGTCCAGTGACATAGCCATTACGCTAATTGCTGGTCCCAGAGTTTCTTTTTTAGAATAATTTTATTTAACTTTATTTATTGCCACTATTTTATTTTATTTTTTAAATTGGCCAAAGAGAGACAGAGGAAGAGAAGTGAGAAAGCAAGCTGTCAGCTCTGGTACTTAAACTGTGGTTAGTTGGAAGTCCAGCTGCCTTGACCACATGCCACCTGCCAGCCCAGGAGTTAGATTCTTGTTGCTGCTGTAACAATTTATCACACACTCAACTGTCTTAAACAATGTAAATTTATTATCTTAACATTTCTTAGGGCAGAAGACTAATAAACATTTTTCTGGGCAAAAATCAGAATGTCACCAGGAGCCTCTTTGTGGAGGCTTGAGAGAAGGATCCATTTTCTTTTTCAGTCTGGTGTTGCCAAAATTCCGTTCCACACAGTTTAGGTCTCTGTCTTTTTGCTGCCTGGTAGCTGATGGCTGCCCTTGGCTAGATCTAGAGGTCTCTCCTGGTTCTTGCACATACTACCTCCTGTATTTCACAACAAGCGCAGGGCATGAGACCCTCTTCATAATGTCATCCCTCTAACCACCTCTTCTGTCTGTTGCTTCCAGTCTTAAAAACAAAGGTGACTGATTGGGCACACCTGAGTAATCCAGGATACTCTCCTCCTAACCTTAATTGCATCCACAAAGTTCCGTTGGCCGTATGATGTCACATATTGAGCGTAGTCATCTTTCGTTGGGAGGATGGACAGTATTCTGCCTATGACAAACTTATGTATTATAGGATCATAGTAAACCTGATCCCTAAGAAAATAAGTGTGTTTTCTATGTAAGACAGTTAAGAGGCTATTATTCTTTTATACTCCTTTAATTTTTCCTTGAATAATTGCAAATGTTGGGGGAGTGATTAAGATAATTATTTAGTAGTTTAATTTCATTAAACTCCTTTGTAGCATATTATATATGACTAGATGCAACACTAAATTTTGTTTTAATTTAAATATATTAGAGTCTAAAAAAGAAATGATACTCATATTTTAGAGTAATTTCAGATTGATGGCAACACTGAGCAGAAGGCAGAGAAATTTCCCATATGCCCCTTGCACCCATGCAGGCATAGGCTCCCTCTAACCAGCATCTTCCACGAGAGCGATGCATATGTTACAGCGGATGGGCCTGCACTAGTGCTTCATCATGGCCCAAAGTCTCTATATTAGGGTTCACTCTTGCTGTTAGATACCCTGTGTGTTTGGACAAACGTATCCACCATCATGGTGCCGTATGGCATAGTTTCGCTGCCTTAAAAATCATGTGGGCCCTACCTGTTCATCCCTCCCTCCCCTGTAATTCCTGGCAACTACCGAGTTATTTTTACTGTCTCCGTAGATTTTTTTTTTTTACTTTTTCTAGCATGTTGTATCGTTGGAATCATACAGTATGCATCCTTTCAGGTTGACTTCTTTAACTTACTAATAGGTATTTAAGTTACCTCCATGTCTTTTCATGGCTGGATAGCTCATTTATTTATTTTTCTCCAGCAACTGGTAAGATTTCCTTGTCTGAATGTCCATGACTTATTTATCCATTCACCCAGTGAAGGATATCTTTGTGGCTTTCACATTTTGGCAATTCAAATAAAGCTGCTCTATTCATCTGTGCAGAGGTTTATGTGTGGGTATCAGTTTTCAGCTGATTCCATCCCCATGATGGCTGAATCATGTAATAAACTGCCAAACTGTCTTCCAAAGTGGCTGTACCATTTTGCATTTCTGCCCATCCGAATTCTCTACCCTCTCTCTCTCTCCTGTTGTGATTTTGGGCATACACACACACACACACACACAGAAAGAAACCTGGCATGTGTCTCCAGCCTCTGGGTCTAAGACTCAGAACGTGCAGTAGGCCACATTGAGTCCAGCTTCCTCAACCACTATGTCATGGGCTGACCTTGGCCTATTTTTAAATCAGGGAACAAATTAAGTAGTGTAGCCCCAAACTGTCAGGGCATGTAATTTATGCAATCCCCCCAGGCCCCATATTCTAGAGCCTTTGAGAATTCAAGGATCGTAGACTGTGTTACTCTTACCTCTTGCCAGGAAGACCCTCTTATGTAGCAGATACTGGGATTTATTCTGTTACACTTTTTACATCAAGAAATAGTTTGCTTTTGTAATTGAAAAGAAAAGTAAACCAAGGTAACTGAACTGTTCACTGGTAATCCAGAAGAATTATTATGTTTAATCTTTCTTTGTTTTACTAAGAGCAAAAGATAAGAAAACTCTTGCCAACAGAATACTGGATGTACAATTATCACTACACATATTTCTGTAAAATTTCTTCTTTTTTCTCAGAGGTAATGAAAAGCAGAGTTTATTGCATAGAAGTAAATAATAAATAGTTTAATTAATGGATAAATGTATAAACAAAGTGCAAACCTTCTTAAAGATAGAAATACAGTTAATATTTCAGTGGGAAGCTGGTTTATATGCCAATAAACTTTAAAGTTTGGAGGAGTTTGGAATTTGTGGCTTTAAAAAAAAGAATAATATGACTACTTTGTAGTCCTTTCAGTTTCTAGATGTTAATTTTTAGCAAACATAAGTAATTTGATGATGGTAGTTTTTAAAGAAAAACATCTTTTCTACTGCAGTTTTCCTAGTATAGGAGATTTTGAGTGAAAGCAGTAATATAATAGATTAATTATAAGGTAGTAGGATTTATTTTAATCTAAAGTATTATACAGAAAAACACATTTTCTCATTGTACCCTGAATCTATGTTCCCAGCCACTGGGTTTCTAAGGACTTCAATATTTTTCTTTCCAGCCATTTTTGTGATTCAGATACAGAATTCTCTTCTTGCCTTTTCACTGTTCCTAAAAACCATTTTAGTTTTCTTTCTGATTGGTACATTTTCCTCTCCTTGGTATAAATCCTTGGTTTTGTATGCAAGAGCAGGGAAGGGAATTGCGAGGAAACATTATATTTTTAGAGTTTAAAGAGTAAAGAGGGAACCTGTATTGAATAAAGCAGAATCCAAGTAGCAGAATAGATACAGGAAAGTTTTATTTTCCAGTTGTATAATTACTAATATTACAAACAGTTTTCCTATCAGAATAATTTAAAAAATTATTTTTAGATGTAAATAAGAAGCCAGTTTATTTGATTACAACACTGGATAACACAATGGAAGATCTGTTAACATTGGAATACGTGAAGGTAAGCAGTTGCATTTATATCTGCTTGATACAGTAGTGTGCTGCTATGTTGAATGTTCAAGTTTTGTAAATTTAATAATATTCGGGGCCGGCAGGTGGCATGGTGGTTAGGGGCACTGGACTCCCACATGGCCGACCCTGGTTCAAGTTCCAGACCTGGTGGCTTACTTTCTCACTTTTCTCTCTCAATCTCTGTAACAATTTACCACACACTCACTGTCTTAAACAACATAAATTTATTATCTTAAATATCTGGTTAAATTAAGATAATAATAAATAAAGTTAAATAAAATAATTCTTTAAAAATTTTAAGAATATTCAAGGGCCTTCAGGTGGCATGGTGGTTAAGGTGCTGGGTTCCTACATGACTGATGGTGGTTTGAATCCTGGACCTGACAACTTGAAAATGATGCTGGGTGCATGTGCGCATGTGCCCAAAATCCCCAAAAGAAAATGGAGGAGAAGGGGTTTCAGTGTGGCCATTTCCCCAGGGGTGATTTCTCAGTTTCCTTTTCTCTGTCTCTCTCTAGTAAGTGCACTCCCCCTATACCTAAACCATAAATGAAGGAATGAACAAACAAACGAACATGCATACATATATACATTCCTAGTGATCCACAGTGAGCCACTGACTACACTTAGGAAGCAAAGAGAATAGTAAACACATGATTTCAAAAGAAACACACACACACACACACACACACGCACACACGCACATATTTTATTATACACAAAGAGCATCTAACAGTTTTATCAGGTAAACAAAGGGATATAAATTAAAATCATAATTGTTAGTTTCAAAAAATCCTTAAATCATTGTGACCTTGGGAAGATTTTTGCTGTTGCATATGTATTAGATAGTTTTTAGATTATAGAATTGTTCTAGATATAGAGAAAATGAGTGGATAAAGAAAATACGAAATGAAAGACTATTCAGCTTTAACAAGACGATAGACTCTGGCATCTGGGAGCACGTGGATGATTCTGGTGCCATTATGCTCAGTAGAATGAGCCAGGCAGAGTAAGACAAGTGCCACATCCCCTTACTGCTGTGGAATCTAATCAAACTGAACCCAGAAGTAGAGAGTGGAATGCTAGTTACCACAGCCTGCAGAGTGGGGAGCAAAGGAATGGGCATATGTTGATCAAAGGGGCTCAGAGTTCTAGATAGACAGAGAAAAGAGGTTTTGAGATCTAGTGCATAGTGGACTAACTAATCAATACAAATATGTATCTCAAAATAGGAGCGTAAATTTCAAATGTCTCACCACAAAAAATGATAGATAAGAGAAACGATGTGTATATAGCAGTTTCTTTGATCATTCTACAGTGTATGCATATATCAGAACATCACATTGTACTCCGAAAGGGCATGCAATTATGATTTATATACTGCTAATAACAAATATAAAGAAAAATCTGTTAACATTAATTTTAAATTTATAATAAATTAGTAATAACTTTAAAATAAAAATGATAATAATTATAAATTTAAAGGAAAAAATCAGAGTATTTGGATACATTGTGAGCAATTCTATCACAAATTTTGTTTCAAATATAGGAAAAATTAGGAAGAATTATAGTGTTGTCGATGACCAAATGTTTTTCACACGCAATATCTAACATGACCTCTCTTAATAATAAAAATGATATTACACAACATTTATTGAATACTTGCTATGTGCCAGAGAGTCCCATACTTACCGGAATACTATATATATATATTTTTTTCTGATGAAGCAGTTGCTTTGTTCTGGTGAATCCGTGTGTTCGAGACCACCCTGTGCCCAGACCTGCTGGAAAACACCTTGAGTTACCTGGCACACTGGGTCCTCAAGCACAGGAGACTGTACACAGTCTTCTGTGACCTGTTTCCCAGAGAAGCAAGCCAAGTCCCACTGGATTAATGTGCCCCGTGTCCTACATAATAGCTCTTACATGCTGTGCTTTGTGTTTCCACGTACATTTTTAACTTCTTTCTCAAGATGTTCTTTGGGGAAATCCTGCTGTTTGTACGTCATCCTTTCCCATTCACTGTACATTTATAGAATTTTTCATCATAAATATGTACAGTAAAACTTGCTGAGTAAAGGTCTGTTTACTTTAAAATACTATGTTGTTTGTAATCTGATCTTCCACTCAATAAATCAGGAGCACAGGAGAAGGCTGCATTCATGTTCTCTTGAATCTTCAGTCCCCCTCTTTGTTTCATTTATTTAGGCTAGAGTCTTTCAATGTACACACTACTCTTTGTCTCCAAGTCCACGACAGCAGTGGCTTGTTAAGTAAGTAAATAAATGAATAAATACACAGACATATATACACACTCCCATTATATATAAGTTTATATAGGAATTTTATATGTATATATAGGTATATATTACTTTTTTTTTTTTTTGGAGAGATTTTCGCTATAGGGCGCGTACGCTGGCCAGCCAGGCCAGACAGACAGAGGCATAGAGACAGAAAGCGAGAAATCACCCCCCGGGGGGATGGTCACGCTGCAATCCCTTCTCCTCCATTCTCCTCTTGGGATCTTGGGCACGCATGCACACGCGCCCGGCATGAGTTTTAAGCCACCGGGTCTGGGACGCAAACCGCGGTTGACTACGTGGGAGTCCAGCGACATAGCCATTACGCTAACTGCTGGTTCCCTATAGGTATATATTATATATGTGTGTATGTATATATACATATACTTCATTTCCTACAGGTATCTGAAGTTACCTGATGTATATATGTACATAATATGTGCATGTGTGAAATGACCTAAACAAGCCACAGCTTCATCAGAAGAAAGCACATACATACACACATACATACACGCACACAGCTAGACAAATTATAAATGTACTTTAAGACTATCACGTACTCTTATGTACACGTCTTCCTGAGATGTTCTAACAGCTTTTATTTTCTCCTTGTATAGGCTGAAAAGAATGTACCCAACTTAAAAAGTACCTATAACAATGTCATGCAACTGCTTAAGGTATGAGTGGATAATAACCTATTTTTAAATGATTGCTTCCATTTCTCAGTAAACATGTAAATTATTTTCTACCTGTAATTGTAAGACCCTGGAGGATAAACTGGGATATTATAAATTGTGTTCCTCACATTATAAAGGATAGTGCCTTGTTGAGAGTAGATAAGCAAATATTTATTGACCTATTCCTAAAATCAGCTTTGTTCTCTAGGTTAATTTTTCCTCTTTGGACATTCATTTACACACTGAAGCACTTCTGAATACAATAAATTATCTGAATAATATCTTTCCACAATCAGAGGAGAAACCAGCCTCAGTGCCTACTGTGGAGAGTGAAGACAGAGGAGATGTCATTAAAAAATTAGGTATGTTTGTTTAAAGCTCAATCTCAGAATTTTTTTTTTCCAAGTAGACAATAAATTTAGGCTCTAAGTTCATTAACTTGTAATATTGGCTTCAGAATCCTATCACCTGGATTGATACCTAGAAAAATTCATTATATAGTAGGTTCACTTTAGAAAATACTGGTAAAAGAAACCCATTACTGCTGAAGAAAATATAACTTTTGTTTGTTATATAATAGATTTTAGTTGAGGACTGTACAGTAAGTGTATTTGATTTATATTAAAATTCATGCCATTAATAGCATGATGATTTTATGTTAGAAAGATGTGAGTAATAGGCCCTGCTGTGGTGGTACTGCCTGTAAGGCGCCACTGTGAGAGGCACACGGGAGGCTGGATTCAGTCTCCTGACCAGCCTGCGTCATCCAGGCATGGTGACGTGTGTCTGTAATCCTGGCCAGCTGGGAGGCCAGGGCGGGCAGGAGGATCATTGTTCACATCCGAGATCCTGTCCACACCTTTCTCTCTTCCCCTCCCTCCCACTCTTCCTCTCTCCTTAAAAGAAAGGTAACTAACAAAATCAGATATGTATTTATTCAGAGTATTTTTAAGCAGTGAAATGTTAGTTTTTATAAAGATAAAATCACTCACTATCTTTTTTTTTTCTTTCTTTTTTTTGGAGAGGTTTTTGCTCTAGGGCACATGGCGCTCGCCAAAAAGACAGAGAGAGACAGAGAGAGAAATCATCCCCCCAGGGGGGATGGCCACGCCTCAATCCCTTCTCCTCCATTCTCCTCTCAGGATCTTGGGTACTCAGGCACACACACACACCGGCATGAGTTTAAGCCACTGGGTCCAGGACTTGAACCACGGTCGACTATGTGGGAGTCCAGCAACAGAGCCATTACACTAACTGCTGGTCCCAAATCACTCAGTATCTTTTGCACTTCATAACAATTTAAGATTTTATAGCTGTGGTTGCTTAGTTTCAAATGTTTAGTCTTTTCTAATAGTGCTGTTTCTGGTGTTTTTTTGTTTTGTTTTGTTTTGTTTTGCTTTGCTTTTATTAGCTTCATTGTCTTTTTTAGTATTTTCAATTTAGAAGAGAATATTTTAGCTCGTCTTCAGCTGAATTGCATATTATTAGGTTTTCTCTGGTATTATATTTGTGATGATATTGCAGTTACTTTTTTCTTTTAATGAGAGAGAGAGAGAGAGAGAGAGAGATAAGGAAATAGGTTTTCGGCAGAGTCTCCCCATCACAGTCCTCCTGCTCCAGCCTAGTTAGCGAGGACCACAGCATGTAGACCCCTGCCAGGCCTGTTTAGACTGGGCCAGGAACCAAGCCTGGACCTCCCCCGCAGTTTCAGCTTTGTGCAGTGGTCCCTACCCTGCACCGCTGTTGTTGGTCATCAGTTACTAATCATTTATAAGTGTAGTGAGGTAACTGCTTCAAGTTTTTTCTTGTGTTTTACAATATGATTTTTTTTTTTGTAGCTTTAAAACTATCCACGAATGAAGATATTATTACCTTGCAGATTTTAGCAGAGTTATCATGTTTACGGATCTTTATTCAAGACCAGAAACGCAACATTTCAGAAATTACGATCGAAGGTAAAAATGTTCTGACAAGATAAATTTGAAACTATTAAATGAAGGAAAAGTCAGTTAGTCATCCTTCTGTTCCCTTAGGGCTTGATTCTGAGATGATTATGAGGTGTTCAGTAACGGAAATCAATGCAAAGCTGAGGAATATAATCATTTTGGATTCTGATATGACAGCTATCTACAAAAAGGTAAGAATGTGTGTTTATTAAGTATTAGGACATCATTAAATAGGCTCTTCCTTCAAGAGCGGGCATCACAGGTATCAGGAAGATGGTTGCTGGATTTCAGCAGTGTAGCTTATTCGCATGGGGTGTAGAGTCAGGCATAAGAAGGGTCGTAGCTCTGTTCCTTAGTATGGGATGTTTGTTAGATGTAAAGTGAGGTTTACGGTGTCTCACAAGTGACGGGAGTGTTAGTAATGCTCCTGGAACTATTTTTCAGGGGAACGCTGATAAATACCTTTTACAGAGTTTTTGTATTTTTGTTCTTGTCTTCAAATTCTCTGAAGTTTATAATGCATTTTAAGTATCAGTATCAATGGGTGTGAAGTCTAATCGAATCAGTGATGATTTTTTTTTTTTTGGGGGGAGAGATTTTCACTGTAGAGCGCGTGCGCTCGCCAGACAGACAGAGAGAGACATAGAGACAGAAAGCGAGAAATCACCCCCCAGGGGGATGGTCACGCTGCAATCCCTTCTCCTCCATTCTCCTCTCGGGATCTTGGGCACGCACGCACACGCGCCCGGCGTGAGTTTTAAGCCACCGGGTCCGGGACCCGAACCGCGGTCGACTACGTGGGAGTCCAGTGACATAGCCATTACGCTAACTGCTGGTTCCCAGTGATGATTTTTTTGAAGTTATGTTCATGGATGCTTACTAGAATAGCTGTTATAACGTATGAGCGTCCTTTGAACTGGATAGTTTGTGGCTGACAGGAAGGTATTTTGTTACTGGGTATAATACGCTAAATTTCCATAAGCAGATACTGTTGTAGGGTTGGGCAGGTGGTTGTTGAATATTGAGGCATCTGGGTAGGACTATCAAATGGAAGGAGCAGGGAACGCTGAAGTACTGTTGAGTCAGGAAGTCAGCATTTAGAATGTGATAGGAAGAAAGGAACTAGATGAATAGATCTATAGATCTAGCTGGTAATACCAATGACATAATGCTAATTTTTATGGAAACAAAAACCTTCATTTAAAAAATAAATTTATTGATTTATATGTAGTTGAGATAGTGAGGTGTATATATATGTGTGTGTGTGTGTGTGTGTATATGTGTGTGTGTGTGTGTGTGTGTGTGTGTATATACACACATACATACATACAGTGAGTGGCTGAGTAAGGGTCAGGGGAGAGCAGGGAAAGCAAGCCACCAGGTCCAGGATTTGAGCTGCGGTCAGCCACGTGGGAGTCTGGCGCCCTTAACCACCATGCCACCTGCTGGCTCTGGGAGAATGATATCTTTAACAGGGTATTTTTGGCAGTATCTTACCATTTCAGGATCCTCCTGCCCCAGCCCCCGAGTTGGCCAGGACTACAGGTGCGCTGCTGCATCCAAATTGTTCAGTTAGGTTGGGAAATGAACCTGTCCTCCTGTGTGGTCCCAGCCTTCAAGTAGCCGCGTCTTAGCATGTGCCACCAAAGCCAAGCTCCTTAGTTTTTCTACTTTCTTATGACGACTTAATGTGAGATAAAAATTTCAAAAGATCAAAGGGGCATGGTTCATAGGAATAATGAGATTTTTCGGAAGCCATGGTTTGATTTGCTTTTATTACTTTCACTTTTGAAATTCTAGTATTACAGGTCCAATAGATGACGCAATGGTTAAGGCGGTAGATGCCCACATGGCTGACCATGCATCGAGTCCCAGACCTGGAAGCTTAAATTCATATTGGCATGTGTGCGTGTGTGCCCAAATCCCGAGAGGAGAATGGAGAAGGGACCGTGGCGTGCCCATCCCCGCTAGGGGTTGTTTTCTCACTTTTCCTCTGTCTCACTCTGGAGACTACATGTGCTCTATGGTAAAAACCTAAAAAAGTAAAATAAAATAAATTTATGGTATTACAATATTTAAGAGGTAGATTATTCATTTTGTAGGTTATCTCTTTTTTCTTGTTGTTGGAGTTTGGAATGGCCCCCTCTCTTCAGCTTTGTATATCTGAGGCAGAAGTAGAACTGTAGATTTCTCTTCAGCCCGAGCTGCTTGAGACCCAACCTTGAGTAGTTTGCTATACCTTCGGTTTCTGAGGATTCTTGGTACTGTGGTTGGAACAGATTTGCCCGTTGATGGCTCATTAGCCCTCTGCCCTTTCTTCTAGCATCTTGGACATAGCTGTAAACCGAGCTAGTCAGTACTCGATCCATCTTCCAAAATCGATACCATTTCACACCCACCGTTGTCTGCACTATTTCTGAGCAGTATTACAGAGCTAGGGATTTTAACCAATGTAGATAGTTCCTGGTTGGCAATTAAGAAGACTCTTCAGGGCCGGCAAGTGGCATGGTGGTTAAGAGCTTTAGACTCCCACATGGCCAACCGTGGTTTAGTTCCAGACCTAGTGGCTTGCTTTCTCACTTTCCCTCTCTCTCTCATTCTGTACCTCTCTGGTCAAGTTTAAATAAATAAAGTTAAATAAAATAATTTTATTATTATTATTTTATTTATTCATTCATTCATTTTAATTTGACCAGAAAGAGAGAGAGAGAGAGAGAGGGAAATTGAGAAAGCAAGCCACCAGGTCCAGGACTCAAACTGTAGTTAGCCACGTGGGAGTGTCCAATGCCTTAACTACCACGTCACCTGCTGGTCCTCATTAAAATAATTTTTTTTTTTAAAGATATAACTCTTCACAAACTTATAAGGAAAGGAGGTATAGAAGTAGGAGGATGTCATTTTGAAGAGTCTGGAAAATATGTTTCATTAAGTTGTGGCCATACAGTGTTTTCTAAACTTTGACAGGAAGCCTAGAAATACATTCATATGGCGACTCAGTGCAAAAGTATATATGCTAAATGAAAAATGCATACTCTGTTATTTTTGTTTTCCATTCCCCATTAAAACGTACTAATGGCCAGACCTACTAAATTTATTTTGTGGCCCATGAAGGGAGCTGCCACCGCCAATTTGAAAAATCTTGCAATGTACGTTTTAATAAAACAGAATTGTTGCAACATTTGTATGTAGCTTAAATACCTGGAAGATTTTCCAAATATGTGTCTATGCTTTGTTATTTTTTTGCTTTGTTTTATTTTTGTACTGAAGGCACATAATTTCAAAAATGGATTGAATATATAATTGAAAATTGAATTTTCTCTTACTAAGGCTGTTTATATCACCGGAAAAGAAGTTTTCAGCTTCAAAATGATTAATTACATGGATGCAACTGCTGGTTCTGCATACACAGATATGAATGTGGTTGACGTTCAGGTTAATTTAACTGTTGGTTGCATCGAAGTAGTTTTTGTCACAAAATTTCTGTATTCTATATTGGTAAGTATTTTAATAAATTATTTTTTATATTAGTTGGAAATTATTTACTATATGTCAAATATACATGAGGTATAAAAATTTGAATTCTTTGCTTGATTTTTTTTAATGATTTTCATACTTTTCTGGATCCCATTTATTATAATGGTTGAAATGTGTAGTACCTTATTTATATAACATTTTCACATGGGAATATTCCGGTTAATTGAAATATATATTTTGTGTGTTAACATACTAAATATGTATACATTATATCGTGTATCTTATGTATTAATATTTTATACATAATTGTCTGAAGGCTTGTATTACTGACTTACCTAATTCAAAAGTACTGAATAGGGGCTGGCAGGGGCTTGATTCTTAAGGTGCTGGACTCCTATGTAGCAGACCATGGTTCTAGTCCTGGACCTAGCAGCTTGCTTTTTTCCTCCCCTCCCACCTCCAGTCAAAATTTAAAAAACATAATAATTTAAATTAAATAATTCTTTAAAAATTGTAAAAAATACTGAATATATAATCAAAGTTTGTTTTGGTTGCTGTCATCATTAAGATAATGATGTTTTTAGAGCCAGCATGTGGTGTGATGGGTAAGGCACTGGACTTCCCATATAGCCAACCATATTCTGAGTCCCAGACCTGGTGGCTTGAAACTCATGCCAAGTGTGTATTCAGGCATGTCCAAAATCCTGAGAGGAGAATGGAGGAAAAGGGATTGTGGCATGGTCATCTCCTACTGGGTGTGATTTTTCACTTTATCTCTCTTTGTCTCTTATGGCAAAAATGTAAAAAAAAATTTTTTAAATGATATTTTAAATTATGTGACTATCAAAGACATTCAAGTGTAAGATTTAATTCCAATGACTACTCACTGAAGTGTTTGAATTCTTATTTCTGCTTTTTTTACTTTTTCCCCCCCCCCCCCCCAGCCTACCCCCTTACTTTCAGCTAGTATTTTTCCATGTGACTATCACACCAGTCTCTGTGACGTCACTGCTCATTGTTTTGAAAATGCTGTCTCTGAGTTTTGGTATATGTAACCAGGTAATCAAATCTCTGTGTAATAGAGGAGTGTGGTAATACTTATAATTGAGGCTATTTGTGTATTTACTTGGGTATATTTGGGGACATGGAGCCTTCCTTTCTTCTCTCAGGATTTAAAGTTGACCTAACTAATGTTTTGGCATGTTTTCAATTCAATTACCATGTAATATGCCCTATAGCCATAAAATCATTTTTGTATTCGAAGACCTAAAGGTGTCGAATTTATTTACATAACTCACTGAGCCCTGTTGTGATAGTCTTATACTTAGAAATTAGTGATAATATGCTATTTTTAACCCTGGAACATGAAAATAAATAAATGTCTAGGTAATTTTATACACACACACATATACATACATACATATATATACACACACACATATATGTGTGTGTATGTGTGTGTGTGGAAGTTTTTGCCTTAGGGTATGTGTGCTCACTGGAGAGACCGACAGAGACAGTGAGAGGGAAAATGAGAAATCACCCCCCTGGGAAATGGTCATGCTGCAGTCCCTTTTCCTCCATTCTCCTTCTGGGATCTTGGGCTTGCACGCACACGTACTTGGCATTCATTGCAAGCTACCAGGTATGGAACTCGAGCCATGCAGGTGGCCCTGTGGGATCCAGCCACCTTAACCATTGCACCACTGGCTGGCCCCAGTATATTTTTTTATCTGTTTTGCTGTTACACTTGTGCACTCGCCGAAGGGAGGTGTATCAAGTGGTAGAGAGAGAAAGTGAGAAACCATCCTTCGGGGTGATGGTCACACTGAACGCCTTCTCTAGAAATCTTGGGCATGCATCACAGTTCTGGTGTGTTTTTCACACCACCAGTGTGAGACTCAAACTGTGTAATTGGCCATGTGGGATCTAGCCACTGCAGCCACCATGTCAATAACTGGCCCAGTAAGTCTTATTGCTCAATGTAACCTTAAGAATGTAATTCTGTTATTTTTATAGGCTTTTATAGATAACTTTCAAGCAGCTAAACAGGCGTTGGCGGAGGCGACTGTCCAGGCGGCAGGAATGGCTGCTACTGGTGTCAAAGAACTGGCACAGCGGAGTTCCCGGATGGCACTGGATGTGAACATCAAGGCCCCAGTCGTGGTCATCCCACAGTCACCGATTTCTCAAAATGTTTTTGTGGCTGATTTTGGACTAATTACAATGACAAATACATTCCATATGATAACAGAGAGCCAGAGCAACCCCCCACCTGTTATAGATTTGATAACAATAAAGCTGAGTGAAATGCGACTCTACAGGTAGGCTTTTTATAAGTATAGTTGTGTAGAATGCAGAATCATTTTTTCAAATGATATGTAATAATTGTATGTGTTTGTAAGTTATAATGTGACTTTTCAGAATATAATACACAATGGTTAAATCAGGGTAATTAGTATACCTATCAGCAATTTGTCATTATTTTGTATGGGAACATTCAAAATTCTCTTTTTCAGTTACTCTGAGATATACAGCAAGTTTTCATTGACTATATTCACCTTACTGTATTAGAGAGATTTTTTTGGGTTTTTGTTTTTGTTTTTTTATAATATGATGATTTATTTAACTTGGTTCTTGGCACAAAATTTAGAACACCAATTTGTGCGGATAAACTCCATTTGTAATGGCAAACACAGATTGCAGGTAGCCCTGGAGCTGAGGAACAGCTTTGATTTTTGGTAAAATTTGCGAGTCCATAGCTTTCTGATTAACCTTGTGCTGCTCTGAAATCTCATATTTCTCCTTCTCTGTGTCGAAGATCTCACCTTCCTGGTGTCCCGCAGTTTCTTTTTCTTGAAGTAAGCATCGGTAAGGTGCTTTGGGATTTTTACTTTGCTAATATCAATTTTCGTGGAGGTGGCAATGACGAATTTCTGGTGTGTTCTACGCAGTGGAACTCAATGGAGGCCCAGCGGTCCAGTCACAAGTAGCAAGCCACTGCTCAGCTGCTTCAGGAAAACCACTCTCTTGCCTCTGTGGCGTCCAGTGAGGATGATCAGAATGGTCCCAGGAGTGATGCTGGCTCGCAGCTTTCTCACATGCCGACTGAAGGGTTTTTTGCCGTGGCTCAACAGCTTTCGAGGCACATCTTCAGTAGGATAATACCTAGGCATTTTGTGCAGTTTAACCAGCCGGGTACCACCATTCTTGTCTCTACCAACTGGTTTTGTGACAGTCGCATGAACCTTCTTCTTTTTCTTTTCAATCCTGTGTTAGTGGCCGAATATTTCCTCTTGTACATAGCCTTCCTGGAATACACGGCAGACCGGGAGTATCGGCCAATGCCCTGGACTAGGATCAGGTTTCGACTGCAGTGGGGCTTCCCCTTCTTGGGCTTTTTAGCCCTGGGGTCACCTTTTTATTTTTGCCACTGGCATCAGCCTTCTTGGCTTTAGGTTTCTTCTCCTTAGTATCCTGCTTCGCAGCTTTTTCACCTGCCATCTTGTGTAGTGGGAAAGAGAAGATTTTGTTGTAGGATGCATGTGCTTGCTAGAGAGATAGACTGAGACAGAGAGACAGAAAAGAAGAAAGAAGAAATCCACACCCCCCCACCCCCACTCCAGGGGGCTGGCCATACCACAATCCCTTCTCTTCCATTCTCCAGTGGGGCTTTTTTGGGCATGTACACACATGTGCCCAGCACGAGTTTTAAGCCTCTAGGTCCAGGACTCAAACCACGGTTGACTATATGGGAGTCCAATGATATAACCCTTATGCCATCTGCTGGTCCTCATCCTACTGTATTTTATAATGTTAGAAATTATTTCTTCTATCTCTCTGTAATTTTGTTTCCATTAACCAACATCACTGTATTACCTCTCTCCTCTGTCCTTTGCAGCCTCTAGCAGTCAGAATGCAGTCTTTCCCTTTTTTTTAACATTTTACATTACTCTTTGGTGTCTTGGTGAGATTTTTATTTTGTTATGACTACACTTAATTTTGTGATTTCTTTTTTCTCCTCCAAGTATGTTATAGATCATCGATTTTAGTCTTACAACTTTAAAAATATTTGAAAATTGCTCCTGAAGTGATTTGGACTATTAAATTTGTTATTTCTGGAAGTATTTTTGTACTTTTTCATACTGCTTTATAATTTATAAGTCAATGGAAGCAATGAGGGATTTTCTAATACATGTTTATTCAGTTTGGAGATGTGGTATCATCCAAACCACTCTGTGATCTTTGTTCTGTGGAGCTGATGTTCTAGTTTAAACAAAGAATAGAGTTTTACAACCTTATATAGTCATTGGGCACTGCATTAGGAAGTGGAGGAAGAAATCAATGTCCAGATAGTTCTAGAGCTTTTATTCTGTATCCTCTGTATTTTGTGCTATTTCTTAACACTCCTATTGGATTTAGTGTCTTTTCCACCTTCAATCCACCTTTACTTACAGCTCTCACTTGCCCTCTTGTTTCCTTTCTAATTTTTCTTTGATTTCATTCTATTACTTGTCTTTTTGCTTTTATATTTGTCTCTCTCTCTCTTTTTTTTTTGCTTTACTAACTCTCAATCTCTACTTACTAGCCTTCAGATTTATGTCATTTCCTTTGCTTACTTTAGGTTTAATGTCTTTTTTTCTCTAGGCTTCTTTAGGTGGTGTCTGAGATTGTAGATTTGAGACTTTTTACTCATCGGTGTTGTAGTGCTGTAAATGGGGTGCAGTAAATGGGGTGCTGTCCAGAATGCTGTTGATCGTGAGTTCCTGTTTGTGTATCTCTGTTCTCTCTGGCACTTTATCGTATGGTGTCCAGCTGCTCTGGTCTCCCTGTACTCTCAGCTCTGTCTTCTCCAGGGGAGTTTCCTGACCATCTCCCGGGCTCCTTGTCCTTGTGCCACAGCCTGTAATTATCTCCATGCAGTAGTAAACTGGGGCGATCATAGGACTCACTTTGTTTATTTTTTCTCCTAGCTCTCTAAGAAGAAAAATGAATTACTGTTCATTTCTTGATGTTATATGTCTTGAAAAATATTTTTTAAAATTATTTTTAAAGATAATTTATTCCATGAGAGAGTGACGAGGAAGAGAATGGGGGAAAGAAAGGATGGAGGACACCCCCAACAGGGTGTTCATATGACGATCCCAGCCAGCCAGCGTTCTGGACATGCGCGCATACACCTGCTGTGTATAGTGAGACATGGGACGAGAACCTGGCACTGTCCTGTATGGCACTCGCATCAGATGTGCTGCTTCACTGCTGTACTGCAGCTGGCCTGGAAAACCATGATTTTTTCCTTGAGAGGTTTTTGGCTTAAGGCTCATGCTCGCCAGAGAGAGAGAGAGAGACAGGTTGACAGACGTTAGAGGGAGAGTGAAAAGTCAGTGCCCAGGGGGGGATGACCACACTGTGGTCCCTTCGGGATGACCACACTGTGTTCCCTTCTCCTTTATTCTCTCCCAGGATCTTAGACACACACACACACTTGAGTTGGGTGTGAATTTCAGCTACCGGGTCTGGGACTCAAACTGAGGTTGGCCATGTGGGAGTCCAGTGATTTAACTGCTATGCCATCTGCTGGCTCCTGAAAAACCATTTTTTGTCTGTTTTTCTTTTGAGGGGGAAAAGAGAGGGAGTGTTTTTCAGGTAGGAGGTTAAATTCATTTTATGGTCCTTATCTTGGATGGAAGGAGACATTTCCATCAGTTGAGTATTGGAGCTTTTACTGAACACCTAGTATATCCAGGAACTCTGCAAGAAATAGAAAGATTCCTCACAATAGTGAGGAATCTTTGTAAGGAAATAATAGTGCCTACCTTATTGGGTTCTAGTAGGTATGTTTAATTAATGAGCTGATTCATTAATTAATCACCTTTGTATTTTTACAAGATTGTAGAAAATAGGTTATAACTTTAAGCTTCAGGTGTTTCAATAACCTTAAGTTTGAATTGTGTAAAACTCTGAATAAGCTAAACAGTTGACTATGTCTATATTTAATCATATCTTGCTTGATTTCAAGAGATGATAAATGTCAATTAGGTGTAGGTCTGTACTAAAAATAGATTTTTAGGGAGTCACACAGTGGTAGTGCTTAAGGCATTGGATTCCCACTGTGTTGACAGCAGTTCAAGTCATGAACCCAATGTCTTGAAAATCATGCCAGGCGCATGTGTGTGCATGCACAAAATTCCAAGAGAAGAATGGAGGAGAAGGATTGCAGAGTGACTATACCCCCTAAGGGAACCCAATGTCTTGAAAATCATGCCAGGCGCATGTGTGTGCATGCACAAAATTCCAAGAGAAGAATGGAGGAGAAGGAATTGCAGAGTGACTATACCCCTAAGGGGTGATTTCCCACTTTCCCTTTCTCTGTCTCTGTCTTTCTCTCAGGCAAGTGCACATGCCCTATGGGGGGATAACTGCAGTTCGAATCCCAGACTAGCAGCTTGAAAAGCACACCAGGGGCTTGAACGTTTTCAGAATCCTGATAGGATGGGAAAGTAGAGGAAAAAGGATTGCAGCATAAGCATAGCTCATTGATGGGTGCTTTCTCTCTCTTGTGAGTGCACGCATCCTTCCGTGATGAAAAAAGTAGATTACTTTAAGAAGATTTCTCTGTAGAGAATTAATCATTATTTTTATAGTCAATAAAGGTTTTTTAAATTGAGAACAAATAATAAAAAATACTGATAATCTTAGATTACCCAAAGATAATTACTATTAATAGTTTTATATATTTGTTCCAGATAATTATTTAATTTAAGCAAAATTAGAATGACATTGTATGTTTTGTTATAAGTGACACATATTACTGTAACAACATGCTGCAAGTATTTTTTCATGTTATTACCTTTAGTACAATTTCTTTCTAAATATATATTTTTTATTTTCAAAAATCCATTTGCCTTTTGGTAGAAATTCTAAGTTTATTCTAATTTTTTTGCTGCTACATATAACACTATAACGATGACTATCTTTGTTCATTAATACTTGTGTGATTGTCTACTTATGTCTTTGGAGTAATTCTTTTTTTTTTGGAGAGGTTTTTGCTCTAGGGCACGTGCTCTTGCCAGAAAGACAGAGACAGAGAGACAGAAAGTGAGAAGTCACTGCCCAGGGGGGATGGCCATGCCGCAGTCCATTCTCCTCCATTCTCCTCTAGGGATCTTGGGCACGCACACACGCCCGGCGTGAGTTTAAGCCAGCAGGTCCGGGACTCAAACTGCGGTCGGCTACATGGAAGTCCAGCGACATAGCCGTTATTCTAACTGCTGGTCCCGAGTAATTAATTTTTAAGATAAGTATCTAGAAATAACATTATTTAGTTATAGATTATAACCAGTTCCTTCTAAAATATTTGATATTTGAAAATTCACTTTAGGTATAACTTCTTAGAAAGTAGAAAGACAAATAACGGGCCTGCCCTGTGGCCCAGTGGGTAAAGGAGCTAGATTCAACATGGCCAACTGTGGTTAGAGTCTCAGCCCCAGAGGCATGGAAGGCATACCAGGTACATGTGTGTGCTTGCCCCAGATCCCAGCAGGGTAGGGAAATGGAGGAGGGAAGGGATGGTAGAGTGACCATGTTCCATCAAGGGGTACTTCATCTGTTGGTCTCTGTTTCTTTCTTTGCTTGGTTTCTCTCTGGCAAGGGCATGTGCCATCTGGCAATTTAAAAAAAAAAAAAAAAAAAAAAGAGGGCCAGCAGGGGGCATAGTGCATTGGACTATCATGTGATTGACCATGATTTGAGTCCTGGACCCAGCAGCTTGAGACTCACACCAGGCACATGTGAATGCTTGCCCAGAATTCTGGAGGAGAATAGTGAAGGGATTGAGACATGGCCATTCCCCTAGGGAATGATTTCTCACTTCATGTCTCTCTGGTGAGTGCAGTCACCCTATAGCAAAATTCTCAAAAAAAAAAAAAAATTATTAGGTGTTTGTATTTTTGATGACCTATACTATTGTTTATACATTAATCCAGTTTCTTGACTACAGTTAGCCAGATTTATTGACTGTGTGATGAATACCAGTTATCTGGCCTATGTAGTAGCAGTATAGCAAAGAATAAAATAAGAGTCCTTGTCCTCATGAAGTTTTCTTTCTAATTGAAACCATAAAGAAGCCACTAATCTATCAAAATGCAACATATGGGACCAGCAGTTAGCGTAATGGCTATGTCGCTGGACTCCCACGTAGTCGACCGTGGTTCACATCCCAGACCTGGTGGCTTAAAACTCACGCCGAGCATGTGTGCGTGCGTGCCCGAGATCCCGAGAGGAAAATGGAGGAGAAGGCATTGTGGTGTGGCCATCCCCCCTGGGGGATGATTTCTCGCTTTCTGTCTCTATGTCTCTCTCTGTCTGGCAAGCGCATGCACCCTATAGTGAAAATCTCTCCAAAAAAAGAAAAAATGCAACATATTAAATTGATAGAAAAAAATTCAAGGTACTTGAGAGAGCACACAGGAAAGGTATCTAACCCAGATTGTGAATCAAACTGATCAGAAAAAATTTTCTAGAACAAATAATCTCTCTCTCTCTCTTTTTTAAGAATTACATATTTAATTTTTTTTTTTTTAATTTGACCAGAGAGAGAAAGAGAAAGAGAGGGAATATGAGAAAGCAAGCTGCCGGGTCTGGGACTTGAACCACAGTCAGCCAGTTGAGAGTCCATCATTTTAACCACCATGCCATCTGCTGACCCTGGAAAATAATGTCTTGACACAACAATTAGGTTTATTGCAGTTTGTCCAGAGAAAGAAATTGTCTCAAAGATATTTACAAAGTTAATGATTCACATATTTTTTTTACAGAGAAGAGTTCAAAACAAATGGTTAATGATAGAAGCTTAACTTATACTATAATTGTAATGCATAGCCTTGGAAATTGTATACTGCGATATTTCCTATAGGGCTTTTAGGTTCCTTAACCTACTACCATTACACAAAACTTACAGGAATACATGCACGTGTAAGTATAGTTTCTCTGTTGTCCATAAATAAAGTGGCTTAGTACCAGACATTCTGAGAGCTCACTGATGACATCTGTATTTCTCTCCTAGTGAGTGGTTAAATGATGGCTAAAATTCTACAGTCGTAGTTTTATAACCTAGTTAAGGATTTGCTACCAGTTAGAATATACGTACATTCTTTAGGAGTGAGACATGAGATTGTCAGTCGACGGTATGTGACTTTCATGGTCACATTGTCACTTAAAAGGGTTCGGTGACCTGCCGTTTCCTTCATTCCTGAGCAAAAGTCCTAACTTTATTTGGTTGGAAAGGCGAAGAAAGTTCAATTTAATATGGACTTGTACATACTCAGTTATTTTGACCCACAGAAATAGAAATGTTATGTGATGCAACTTTGTAATATGTGGTGGTGTACTACATGTCTAAATGGGCAAGTTAAAATGTTTTTAATAATAAGGTCTTATGTTTGTTTACAGATTATATGTAATAATTATAATTTTAAAAATTCTGTTATACAAATCGTATATTTTCGGTTCTTTTAAAATTGATATTGCAAAATCCTATTTAAAAATTAATCTCTCAGTAACACAGGAACACTTCAGTTTTGAAAAGTCACCTGGGTTTCCAATGGGATGAGACATCTTTCATTTCGACACTTAAAAAATACCTGGTAGATTTTACTCATTGCTTTTCTGCTATTTGTATATAAAATAATAAATTTAAGCTAATCTTTTAAACATTACTATCTGAATGTATGCGAAACACTTCAGTACAATTTTATTTCTACTTATAGGTCTCAATTTATTAAAGACAAATATCAAGAAGTACTGGATCTGTTATTGCCATTAAATCTTGAAGTGGTTGTGGAGCGAAATTTATCCTGGGAGTGGTACCAGGAAGTTCCTTGCTTTAATGTAAATGCTCAGCTAAAACCCATGGAGGTAACTTTTTGGATTCTTGTTGACTTTTGTTTTGTCTGTTAAAAAATATTTTTTGGGAAAATAAGGTTTTCCCGATAGAATTTATCATCACCTTAGCATCGAAATAGTGGCTGTATTTACTGAGAATTCCTTAAAGGTTCTTCATTCATTCTTATAACAAACATATGATTGGCTACTGTACGTTGAGCCCTCTGCTAGATCCTGGATATGCAGAGACAAAAAAGCTGTGACCTTGTGTGTGGCTTCATGGAACCTACCAGTCTAATGGGTGGTGGAGATGGTGGCCTGGAAGGTATAGTGGTTAGATGGTAAAGAAGTAAACAAACATAGTTAACGTGGTTAAACATTTCCATAAAGCCCATCAGGGAAACATACTAAGCATGATGTTATCAGTAGTCAATCAGATATATTAATGAAGACTCTAACAGGTCTAGACTGAATATGGTATTTAAAGTCATGGGAATATGTGAGATAACCTTTAAAAAGAGAATATAAAGGAAGAGGAAGTCCTGCATGAGTGGGGAGGTCGAAGATGAAAGTCGCAAATGGTCAGCGCCGTAGGCGTAGCTTTCCTGCCCTGTCGTTGACGTTGCTTCACAGCTCTCTAACGGAACTGTCCTCAGGTTCACAGTTTTCCCTCTTAACTCTGTGGGAGTCAAAACACATACTTTCCTGAAGTGCCAGCAACATAATATTCTTGACTGAGAGGTTTCTTTAAGAAACCTTAACAAATCTTCTTCTTCCCATCTCTAGTTTCCCTTTCTGTTTCTCTCCATAGGAATTTTATTAAAAAGAAAAAGTAATTTTTTTAGAGTTTTCAGATTTAAAGTCAAAATTATATTCAATGTTTAAAAGTATCGGGGCTGGCAATTAGCACGGTAGTTAAGGCTTTGGACTCCCTACCAGTCTAATGGGTGGTGGAGATGGTGGCCTGGAAGGTATAGTGGTTAGATGGTAAAGAAGTAAACAAACATAGTTAACGTGGTTAAACATTTCCATAAAGCCCATCAGGGAAACATACTAAGCATGATGTTATAAGTAGTCAATCAGATATATTAATGAAGACTCTAACAGGTCTAGACTGAATATGGTATTTAAAGTCATGGGAATATGTGAGATAACCTTTAAAAAGAGAATATAAAGGAAGAGGAAGTCCTGCATGAGTGGGGAGGTCGAAGATGAAAGTCGCAAATGGTCGGCGCCGTAGGCGTAGCTTTCCTGCCCTGTCGTTGACGTTGCTTCACAGCTCTCTAACGGAACTGTCCTCAGGTTCACAGTTTTCCCTCTTAACTCTGTGGGAGTCAAAACACATACTTTCCTGAAGTGCCAGCAACATAATATTCTTGACTGAGAGGTTTCTTTAAGAAACCTTAACAAATCTTCTTCTTCCCATCTCTAGTTTCCCTTTCTGTTTCTCTCCATAGGAATTTTATTAAAAAGAAAAGGTAATTTTTTTAGAGTTTTCAGATTTTAAAGTCAAAATTATATTCAGTGTTTAAAAGTATCGGGGCTGGCAATTAGCACAGTAGTTAAGGCTTTGGACTCCCACATGGCCAACTGTGGTTCAAGTCCCAGAACTGGCAGCTTGCTTTCTCACTTTCCCTCTCTCTCTCCTGCTCTGGTCAGATTAAATAATAGTAGTAATAATAAATTAAAAAAAAACATGATAGTATCAACTGAAAATCTTTAAGCTCCTAATGTGTAAGATAATATGGTTGCTTTTAACTTAAGGATTGCAGATGGAAAGTATCTTCCTTTTTTAAAAAAAATAAATAAATAAAAAGAGAGAGAGATTGCTATAGGGCGTATGTGCTCTCCAGAGAGACAGAAAGTGAGGAATCACCCACCAAGGGGGATGGCCATGCCACATTCCCTTGTCCTCCATTCTCTTCTTGGGATTTTGGGCACGCACACATACCTGGAATGAGTTTAAAGCCCCTGAGTCCAGGACTTGAACTGTGATTGACTACATGGGAGTCCAGTTATGTAATCATTATGCCATCTTCTGGTCCCTATTTTTTTTAAGATACTTTTTTTTTGCTTTAGGGTGTGTGTACTCACCAGAGAGACAGAGAGAAACTGAGAACTCACCCCCAGGGGGGATGGTCACACTGTAATCCCTGCTCCTCCATTCTCCTCTTGAGATTTTGGGCATGTTCACATGTGCACATGTGCATGGTGCAAGCTGCCAGTTTTAGGACTCAAAGTGCAGTCGACCATGTGGGAGTCCAGCGCCTTAATCATGATGCCACCTGCTGGCCCCCATTTCTATTTTTTTTTAAAGGCTTTTGCCATAGAGCACATGTGCTTGGTGGAGAGAGACAAAAAGACAGTAAAGAGGAAAGTGAGAAATCACCCCCTGGAGGAATGGTCATGCTGCAGTCCCTTCTACAATCTCCACCTGGGATTTTGGATACATATGCACAAGCACCCAGCATGATTTTCAAGCTGGTGTTCTGGACTTGAACTGCAGTCAACCGTGTGGGAGTCCAGCACCTTACCCATTATGCCACCTTCTGGCCCCAGAAAGTGTCTTCTTAAGATACATATTTGAAGTTGTTATACTGGTGAGACAGACAGAAACTTATAAAATGTAAGCAGCACATTCTGCCTAGCATACTGGGGAAATCCTTACCCTGCTGCACTCAGTTATTAGGCAGATTTCTGTGGGGCAGTGAGGACAGTGGTTTCCCTTGTTCTTTCCAGGAATGTCCAGGCCTGAGTGCCTTCTAAGGCAGAGCTGCCAGGATGTAGTTGAATCCTCCCCAGCCCAGTCCTGAGTAGTTGGAAGCCGTTGTTGCTCACCCAGAGCCTAGTTATTTGGTCTCTTCTGGGCCTCATCCTCTGTGTCGGCAAGTCTTTAGAATTGGTTCCCGGAAAGGTTAGTCTGATGCATTCAGATCTAGTGGCGTAGACTGTGATCTCTGACCTGTCAGATGTCGTCATCTGTTTGGGACTGTATGCACAGTGTGTCCTCCTGTGGACGAACATTGGATCAGCAGCCCCAGGATCCTTACGGTGCTTGCAGCAGTTCACACCAAGCTGCTGGGACGAATGGAGAGTGATGATTTATATCAGTATTTGTGGGGCATTGACTATGTATGTGCTAATTAAAAGATGTTGGTTTAGAAGTTATGATAAATTCTGTCTCATGAATTTATGTGCCTACTGCATAATAATCATGAAGTAAGTGACATGAGTGAAAGAATGGATGAATGAAGTAAATTAGAAACATAGGGCAGGAATAAAGTACACATAAACTCAATCTTAAAGCACTGTCATCTTTGAAATGTGGTCTAAGAAAGTCTGTACAAAGAAAACTTAACTTTTGTAGGATAAAACTTATTCTTAGCATCTTAGCAACTAGAAATATGTCAGAATTTTAAAAAGTTCTGACAGATTTAGAAGTGAGTCAAAATGAATAAAAACTCTTGGTTAAAGATACCACTGTAAACCCATGGGTATTTTTAAATTATCACTGTTGTGTTGAGGTTTCCCAGAGAAGCAGAACCACTGGAGGGGCGGGTGTGTGGGTGTGGTGAGAGTGAGAGGAAGGGAGATTTATTTGAAGAAGTTGATGCACTTGATTATAGAGGCTAGCAGGTTTAGAACCTGCACGTGGGCAGCAGAATGGATTCACAGGGAAAAGTTGGTGTTGCTGTGACAGTCGAAGGCTGTCTGTTGGCAGAATTGTGACTTGGAGGAGTTCAGTCTTTTTCCTGTTGGAGGTCTTTAGTTGATGAATGAGGTCCGCCCACATCATGGAGGGTGCTCTGCTTTACTCAGTCAACTGATTTAAGCGCCAGTCTCATTATCTAAAAACCTACCTTCACAGAGACATCTAGAAAAAGGTCTGGCCAAATGTCTAGGTGCTGTGACCAAGCCAGGGTGACACATAACGGTAACCATCACAGCTGTCAAGACAGGTATTATGCTCTTGGTTTTAGACTAAATTTGCAATACATGGGCTTTTAAGTCAGCCCTTCGGGTAAGTTCTATTAAGTACATATGAACTTAAACATGTTACTTAACTATTTAACTTCTGCTTATAAATTAGGATTATATTCTGTACACTTAGGACGTTTGTGAGGTTCAAATAAAATCGTCATGCACATTGTGAATTATTTTTCATTTTACAAATATAATATCATGTTTTTGATTTCTTCTTTGTAACATGAGTTGCTTACTAACCAAAAAATTAGAAATAGCCAGTTGATTACTTAATGATGAACGTTCATACGTTCATTTTAAAGGTTTAGGATTGCTGGGACCAGCAGTTAGCGTATGACTATGTCTCTGAGCTTCCATGTAGTTGACTGTGGTTCAAGTCCCAGATCGTGTGTGTGTGTGTGTGTGTGTGTGTACCCAAGATCCCGAGAGGAGAATGGAGGAGAAGGGATTGTGGCGTGGCCATCCTCCTGGTGGGTGATTTCTTTCTTCCTGTCTCTTTGTCTCTCTCTGTTTTTCTGGTGAGTGCACATGCCCTACAGCAAAAAAAAAAAATAAAAAATAAAAAAAATTAGGATTGCTCTTTTATTTGGTACATTCCTTACAGTAGTTCATCATTCATAACTCCATTAATATTGGCATCTAATTTAGGTCCATATTTTTCAAGCTATCCAAGATTGCACAGTCATTTAGATTGAATATTCATTTAGTAAAAATCTTTTACATGTTAAAAATTATTTGTTTTGTAGAAGATCAAAATGAAAATGTATTATTTCTTATATGAGAATTTTAACTACATGAAATAGCAATGTTAAAAAAGCATTTTTTTTCAACAGTTCATTCTTAGCCAAGAGGACATAACAACTATTTTTAAAACTTTGTATGGCAACATATGGTATGAAGAAGGTGGTAGTGCCGTACCCGCTGCATCGAAAGAGCAAAGCAGCGATACTGTCGGAAATGCTAACGCTCTGTACCCGTCAGAAGGTATGTTCTTAACCTGCAATTTCTTCCTGCCTTCCCGCCTTCCTCTTTTCCTTTTCTGCTTCCCTCCCTCCCCCTCTTCTCCTCTTTCTTTCTTCCCCTTTCTCTTTTTTTTCTGCTTCCCTCCCTCCCCCTCTTCTCCTCTTTCTTCCCCTTTCTCCTTCGTCCTTCTTTTTCTCTATTTTTGAGTAAAATAGGATTTATAAATTTTTTTTTAATCGACTAATCCCATTCAGGCATCTTTAAATTGTCTATTAGTCATTCTGTTGACTTTTTTCCCCTTTGAGTCAAAGTTGCTAGTCCTGTTGCAACACAGTTTTTCCATGTTCACTGTTGTTTCACCAACTTTCTTATAGAGCCTCATTTTCCATTTCTTCTTCCCTTCTCAAATTCCTAGTCCAGCTTATGTCCTAGATGGAATATTTCATGTTGATACTAGGAATGTCAAAATATTAGAGATGTAAAGAAAGGGTGACCATTAGTAGATGCTGGATTTTAACAAATATTCGGAAGATAAATGAGTGAAACAGAGTAGGATCCTCAGAAAGAGGCTTCACTCAACGTTGGACCTGTTGTGCTCTGCGAAAATGCCTGAACTCGGAGTCACACACACCTCGGAGTTCAGCACCAGAACGGAACATACAGAGCTGGGTCAGTTAGGGCTGTTTGGATTATTTTGCTACACAGGAAAAATGTTTTCCTGTGCAAACATGTTTTCATGAAATATGAGAACAAGAACATAAGTTTTTAAATGTTTCAGGAAAAAAAACGAAATAGACTAGCTATTAAGAAGCTTGGGGAAATTGATTGGAAGATTGCTCTGTGTGTGTATGTGTGTGGTTGATTTATCATCAGTAAAACTGGATGGGGTGGGATGGATTTCATTAACAAAAGACAATGGGACAATATATTCAAAATTCAAAGGAAAAAAATATTTTTTTTTTTTTTGGAGAGATTTTCACTGTAGGGCGCGTGCGCTCGCCAGACAGACAGAGAGAGACAAAGAGACAGAAAGCGAGAAATCACCCCCCAGGGGGGATGGTCACGCCGCAATCCCTTCTCCTTCATTCTCCTCTCGGGATCTTGGGCACCCACGCACACGCGCCCGGCGTGAGTTTTAAGCCACCGGGTCCGGGACACGAACCGCGGTCGACTACGTGGGAGTCCAGCGACATAGCCATTACACTAACTGCTGGTTCCCAAAGGAAAATTATTTTGAAGCTAGGATTCTTTATATGGATAAACCATCTTCCAAATGTGAAAACAAAATAATTCTCACATTTTCAGTGACTCAGAGTTTATGGGTATGTGACTCATACCTATTCCTAAAGAAATTATTATAGTTTGAAAGTTTATTCCACCAAGACAAAGAATCTGGGAAAGAAAAACACAGGGTTGGTAAGCAGTGGGTCTATGCAGGAGAACAGAGAAAAGGAATCCCAGAATTACCTGTGTGACTAGACTAAAAAGTAATTGGTTTTCATTGAAAAAGAATTTAGAATGCTTTGAGGCAAGAAGAAAGTAAAGCCACATAGGAGAATATAAATTCCACATAGTATTTAGGATGAGGAATTAACTATATTGTTAAGGTGATGTAGAGAGAAAGACGTATTTTCTGTCAATAAGATCTCTCTAGTATATACCATGGTGCAGAAGTCGGAATAGACAAAGTTTTACAGAATTTTGAGCCATCATTAGAACATGAAAATAATTTCTTCATTTTACACTCATTGACACATTGTTGGATCAGAGGCAGAATTATAATAAACTATAATTTCTTCATTGAAAAATATTGACCAGTCTTACATGAGCAACCAAGGAAGGCTTACTATGTGAATAACAACGTGAATGTAGTTGTGATAACATAGAAGCAAAGACATAACACCAAGCTGGGAAGAGAAAGATGGGAGAGATGAAGGAAACGATAGGGGTTAAATAGCAGGAAGTGTAAATAGAATGTCTAAAATTGATGACACAACAGATAGAGGCTTGAATGTACTATTATTTTAATTATTTTCTCCTGGAAATTTTATAGATATACAGAAGAAGTACAGGGAATAAGGTTATGAACACATATGTACCCATCACCCAGTTCCAACAATTAGTATCATATAGCTGCTTTAGTTACTTCTATAATGCTGCTATTTTTCCTTCTTCCTGTAACCCACTAGCCTACTAGGTTATATTTTAAAGTAAACCTCAAAAGTTATGAAATTAATTAATATTTATATATATGCAATAAGGACTTGGCTTTTTAAATGTAGTCACAGAAATATCACTTTTAAATACTAACAGTGTGGGGCCAGCAGGTGGTGTGGTGGTTGGGGTGATGGACTCTCACATGGCCAGCCACGGTTCAAGTCCTGGACCTGGCAGCTTGCTTGCTTTCTTTCCTCTGTCTCTCTCAGTGAGTGCACGTGCCCTATAGCAAATTCTATAATAATAATAATAATAAATAAAATAATTATGACAAAAAATAACTCGCAATACTTCCTTAACCATGAAAATGACCAGTTAGGGTTCATGTATTTTTCCTGATTATCTCATAAATTTTTCTTTGCAAGTGTTTTATTTTTCTTAATAATGATAAAGGTGTCCACTAACAAAATATAACTGTTGTAAATATGTATGTACCTAATAACAGAGCTTAAAATATATGCACAAAAATTGACAGAACTAAAGAAGGAAATACATACATGAGAAGGGCTTCAAAAATTAATATAAAATACATTTTATTTAAAAACTGCATAAATTTGTTTTTCTTTTGCACCAAAATGAGCTCATACTTTGATTCCATTTTTCCACGATCTTTTTGAAATCCCGACATAGTTGAATTTTCTTTCTTTAATTAGCAAAAAGGCATATGATCAGAGAGAAGGAAAGTGAAAAGCACCCCCCAAGGGACACTATCACAGTGCAGTTCCTGCTCCTCTGTCTCTGTCTCCTGAAGGAGAGAAGAACCCATCAGCATAGACCTCCAGTGTGTTTCTCAAGCCCCAGGGTCTAAGACTTGATAGTGCAGTTGGACATGTGGGATATAGCTGCCTACACCACCATGCCAGCAGAAATCAGAAAGAAATATGGAAGGATTTAAATGCTGTCAACAACTTTGACCTTATTGAATATTAATACAACACTCAACAAATAAAAGCAGAATACATTCTTTAAAAATTAATTGACAATTATTG